GTGGTGCTGGGGGCATGTCATTGGACCGATGTGACCTGTTTTCAATACCAAACGGCGTGCAAGGACTTTCAATGTTTTTACCAAATTTGAAGTCGACAGGAGAATGTCTAAGAATGACATTACACAGACGGACAGATGGACAGACGGATGCTGATCAAGAATATATATACTTTGCCGAATTTCTGACGCTTCCTTCTGCGTCATGCTAACGTTTTGATAAAATCATCCTTCGGTGATGGGTATAAAAAAAAATCTATAAAATATTATTATATTCTGTTTAATCCAAAGAAGTAAATTCTTGGACAAGGATCATCGACTCATTGAACTAAAAAAAAATCTTTAATTAAACAAGCAACAATGATAAAAATAAATTAATAAAATAAATTATAAAAATATCTTTTTTAATCCTAAACAATTTTAATCAATCAAGGTGAGCTAAGCACTTTTATATTAATTTATTATTTTTTAATAAGTGCATATAAATATAACAACAGTTTCTAAAATAACAACAAAAACCTTTCATAAGAATCCATCTAAAACATATTATTTTAATTTTCCTCTTTTTCATTCTTTTCTTTTCACAAATCCACAAAACTCACTTTTTTCGTAGAATACTCTTCTTGCCTCTAATCTGCAATTTACTTTGATATTACAGTCGATAAAAGTATTAGATAATTGGTCAAAACAACAAAACCACAGAGATTTCAATTAAATTTAATACTTTTCGAACATAAACGGTTGACCGCAACATATTTCTCAATACTTTTTTAATGGGCCATTGGATTATTTTATCATGCGCTCAATATGCTTAGTTACAAAGTAATAATATAAATAGTTTCAAGCTTATAGGAAAAACGAAAGGCATGTACAACTTAAATATCTGCTTGGATACTTTCATTGAGATCTATTCGCAAGCAATATATAATATACCCACACATATACACATATATATGTGCGCATGTATGTGAATAAAACTTTGGCCACTTTATCATAGGACAGTGATAGAAATGTTGAAATGAAAGACTTTTTTTTCTTTTTTTTAAGGGAAACGATGACGGAGGGAACAAACCTAAATCGGATTATGCGACCGTAGTATCCGAATGTTTGAACTAAGTGCATATATGGAAAGAATAGATGTGTGTGGAGTTTATATATGTGTACTATATTTAGAAGCCGAGTTCGGATGCAAGCACAGCAAGAATAATTGTGGTAACAATAGAAAGAACGACGTAGGAACATGAACATCAACTGCTTTTATAAAGAAAATGAGTTTTGAATTAAAGCTAAAATTCAAACAATACCCTCCACAACTTCCTCTTAAAATTTCGAAAAGGCCGTATGTAAAAAAAAAAAAAAACGATTTTCTTTTCATACCCATTGGAAAGCACTTTTTTTTTTTAAGAAAAGAAAGTTTATTTCAATTCTTCTTGAAAAGCAGACAACAAAATATTTACTAACTGCAGCCGGAAAGTAAACAATGCTTTTTTAGGCAATCCTTTTGCAAAACTATGACTTTGTTCTCACGCATTCTGATAGGCGCATAATTCCATCGATTTTTATAGTTTTAGTTGTAGTTAGCAAATCGGTCAATAAGTGCAGGGATTGGTAGTTATATGCATTTTTCAATGAAAAAAAAGAAATGTTACTATTATAACTATTTATTTAGACCAGGACTAAAAGTAGGATGAGCATTAGCACTTTTTGTTATGGTCGATCAGGTAATTAGTTTGGTCACTTACAAAGGTTATGGCATTCACAGAGTATGTGTTGTTTATTCGTAAGATTTTGTCCACAATCGGAGATTGGAGGAGTAAAGTTCTTAAGAATCTATTGATGCAATTTCTATACTTTATATTCCCGTCACTTGTTGACGAATCAACGGCTGTACTTTGTTGAAACAATGGGGTCTTAGTTGGTTGTCTTTACTTGGAAAGAAAACCATCCAATCTCAGCAATGGCTTGAAAATGTCTATGACAGTTCTTCTGCTTCGAAACCTTTTTGTATGGTTACCTGCAAAAGAGAAAATGGCACAGTAAAGAAAATCCTGAAAATATTCTCGATAATCGAAAGCGAAAGCTGCAAAAAATTGCTGACGTCTGATACATATTGAAACGAATCTATTTTACCAATAACTACCGGCCGTAGTCAAAGTAGATTAAAAATATGGATTTGTTGCCGATTCAAAGTCTTTTTTTTAGTCTAAGAATTCAATTCATTAGTCTAAAATTAAAATAATAATAATAATAATAACAATACTAAAAAGAATTGTATCAAGCAGTATATGGCAATGGGCAAGACATTGGTTCACCTCTTCTTTCTTCTTCACTAAGGAAAAAGAACCTGAAAAGTCCCGCGAGCATTTGGAAAATAAAAACAATTTGATGATGATTATCATCTGCGATATGAAAACCAAATTCACTGTGAAAAAGTAGCACACAGTTTATGAGATTACAAGATTAGAAAAAAATGTTTGGTGCATTAACTGCTAAGGTGCCGACACTTTAAAGTCCATTAGTATTTCCATTATCATGTAAAAGGCAAAGAGCCTGCAATTCAATTCGTTAAGGTAGTGTTGCATCAATCATGTGGTAAACATAACCACTAGTTTGCTTTCTTATTCCACTTAAACATAACTAAAGAGCATTAACTGAATTGTTGTGAAACCCTAGAGAAACCAGAAAATGGTTTTAACAATTTATCCAGCAAACCTTTAAACTTTGATTTGTATACTAAATGTTTAGAATGTTTCTCAATTTATTATCTTCTTCTGGTTCTGCTTTTGCTTTGCAACAAAACATTCGCACATATTAACCTGACATGGTCGTAATTAAAGTATAATAAAGTTTTTACTTAAAAATTCAATTGCAGACGAAAGGAATAAAATTTTGAGAAAATTTTCATACAAGTAAGAGCAATTAAAAGAGTAGCACATTTACGTATATATATACATGTAAATGGACACGTATTTAATTAAAGAAACATAGGATGTTCTAATGAAAAATTCATCTTCATTGCAGGTTTGGGACCGTCGTGTGATACTGAATTGATGGCCGAAATGTCTGTGTCACGTTTCGTACCGATTATCATAAATAATGGTCAAGTGCATAATGGTACACTAATGCGGTATAAACCTCAGGAAACGATAAGCTATACGAATTGCGGCGCTGATGACGGCGACGACAATCGAGCACCAAACGTAAAATTCAAAAGCAAACCAATTACGACTAGGTCAATAGTGATTCACGAGCAATACGAAGAACGTATGCAACCGACACCTAATGATGATATAAAGGCAGAAATAATAGACACACAATCGTTTGTAAAAAAACATGTTCTGAACGCACCATTAATGCAAAGAGAAACATTGCCATCTACACCGTCCATTGTTGCTGCTGCTGCATCATCATTATCATCATCAATATGCAATGAACCGAATTGCAATAGTTCTGCAATGCAACTCACAAATAATGAAATTATTTATAAATTTTATGTACCCGAAAATATTGGTGTCGCTAAAGCACGCATTACATTTTTGCTAGCTTGCCTGCAATGTCCCGATGTTGCTTTTCATATACAAGCGAACGCTTTCCCATACAGTACAACGCAAGAGAAAAAGCACGAAAGCACTTACAAACACAACACGATAATTAAAACAAATCAAACAGGAGAAATCTCAATACAATTTTATGTGCAACCCAAGACTTGGCATTACGCTGTCTTGCATTTCGTTAAGCCGCTCATGATGAAAGAAGTGTTTGCGCGGCTTGTTGAAAACGATCTATATAATCGTGAAGGTAAACAGCAACAACCGAAATTCGAAAATAGAATGGGTGAAGCTCGTGAGTTACCGTATAGTTTACAAATTGACCTCTGCGAATCTGATCATAAGGATTCCGCTACAAAATCACGGTCACGTACTAATGAATCGGAAGGCAGATCAAATCCTTGGAAACCTTCACGATATCGCGACATGGAATTCTATCCTTTATTTAGGCAAAATTATCGGGAGTTTTTCATGTTCGATTATGAGTTGGTACCTGATGAGAACGGTACTGTGCCAGAATTATTAAATTTAACGGCCGGTATCCCGGCTGGTTTTACTTTCCCTCTAGGAGAAGTTTATGATGTGGGAGGAACTTTGTCCTTTGCTTTATCGATGAAACAGAATTCCGAGGAGAAAACCGATATCTCAGATTTTTCCCATCCTGCGAAGCCTAGTATGGAACGTTATGGAATTTTGGCTGAAAAACTAATCGCCGAACCACAATCAACAGCTAAAAAATCCGGTGACAATAAGTCTTTGCCGCGCAGTAATCAAACTATAATAGTTTGCATGCATTTGGCCGAGCCCGGTGAGCCCACTTGGCCCGATAAATGTCGTTACGGTAGCCGATTATTGCCAGCTTCGAGTATCGTTAATAATACGGACGCTACAACTAGTAGTGGTCTTATACATGTACCATTTCCCGAGAGCGGACAGTGGTATGTGACGATGGGCCTTTATTGTCACGGAGCTGAGACAGCGTCTGGTTTTACAATCATAGATAGTGTTAAGGATTTTGTTAAGCGTTATTCGCAAATGTTAAATAACATAAAAGCTTCATGTGCTTGTACTCCGAAATTATCCTTCTATCGGCAATGTATAGGCGACAATGCATGCCTGACGGCCCTGAACGAAACTGAAACATTAAAAATTAAAGAATGTCTTATGGACTCCAAATGCACTACCAATCACCTGGAGATGACACGGAAATTTGAAGTGCATCACAGATTCGCGACCGAGCAGCATTTCGCTTTGGACAACTGCAGTACCTCCGTAATATTTACAATCTCTTCGAATCCTTGCGTGGCGGGAAGATGCGGACGTTATGGCCGCTGTTTTCATTATATGTCCGGTGGTTTCGTTTTCTCTACGTGCGTTTGCTTTAGAGGTTACCGCGGCTGGGATTGCACTGACGAAAGTCAAGTGCCTTCAAGATTTTCGCTATTGCTTGCTACACTTGTTCTAACCATAAGTAATTTGCTGTTCATTCCAAGTGTGTATGTGGCTTATAGAAGAAAGTACTATACAGAAGCGATTATATATTTTGCTGCTATGTTTTTTTCAACTTTCTATCATGCTTGCGATTCGGGAGAGGATGAGCATAGTTTTTGTTTGGTTAAAATTGGAGTTTTACAATTTTGCGATTTTTATTGCGGCCTATTAGCAATTTGGGTAACCCTGGTCGCTATGTCGCAACTGAGGCAAGAAATTGTATCAATATTACATATGCTTGGAGCGATTTTACTTGCGTTTGGCACCGAATTAGATAAACAAAATTTATGGACATTTTTAATACCCTTTTTAACGGGCATATGCATAATATCCCTTACTTGGGGTATGCGTTGTTATAAAACACGTCAATGTTATCCAGGACGTCAATATGTAACGTTTTACTTACCTGCCGGTGCGACATTAGCACTTGTTGGTCTGATTTGTTATGCTTTTCTACAAACTAAACAAAATTATTATATCGTCCACTCCATATGGCATATGGTAATGGCTCTATGCATTTTATTTTTGCTACCATCCGCGAAATCATTTATACCAAAATCGTAGCACTCGCCTTATACGCGCGAATTCCTGCTTACCGAGCAAGAGTTCTATATGTGAATTTAAATTTAGAGAAAAGCGTTAACTAAGAGCGATACCATCTAAGGTATCCATCATCTCAACTATATATAGTGAAAAGGGGAATAGACGAGGCAACGTAAAGCACAATTTGAAAAGTTATGGCACCGCCTGCACAAAAACAAAATAAAAACAAAAAAAAAAAAAAAGAAACAAGAAGAAGAAACACACAAAGAAATGGAAACTTTGAGAACAAACAACTAAAACAATTCTATACAGGTTTAAGGTTAAGGTAGTACAGATTTTTCTTAATTTCTTTTCTTTCATTTTTTTTTCCTTTTGATTTTCGTTTTCTTTCCTAAACTTAAGATCATACAAAGCACAGATGCAAACTTACATTTCAATGCATTCCTATAAATATATACATTTAGAGTAATTACAAATATATACGTAATATATAAATAGATATATAATTGATCAGCTACTACAGCAAAAAGGTAAGGAGGGACCTCCCTTTAAGGTTCTTAACAAAACTCAGAGTCCACAATTAGGCTAAGAAAGAGAAACTATATCCATATATGAAAGAAATATATTATAAACACTACAACAACTAGAACTGCAATTGTACAGATCAAAAATTAAAGTTATTGTACATAACGCTATAAATGTAAATGTAACTCTTAGACATCAATGTATTTTGATATAAAGGAATTGTAATTACTTGTAAACATAATCATATAAGAAAAAACAAAACTCTTTATATGTATATATATTTAGTGTTGTCTGCTAGTAATTTTTTATCCTATTCTTATATTATGTATTGCTAAGTTTGTCGAGATGCTTGTAACATCCAGAAAAGCTAGAGATATAATTTAAAAAAATTTTCTGTCCATCCCACTGTCCATCTGTACATGTGTCTGTCTATGTCATCAAATATTCCAGGCTTCAGCTGGCAATTCACAATTTTCGACATATTTTGCCAACTTTACTACACGGATTGTATTAGCCCCCAGGACGACTGTAACGTTTGACTTTGCTTTGTTGTTAATTCTTATAGCCACCACTAAGAGTACATGAAAGCACCGAGCCGGAGACGCCATGGGCAAAGGAATCGCATTTGTCGTGTCTTTTAGACTCACAACCACTCGCATGAATTAAATACGTCGATCAGCCAAAACTGCTTAGGAAATTTTCCTCAAACAACCCAAAAAACTTTAGATAGAAATAAAATGGTTTTATAGCATAAGTCTGGTCTCCGTAATCGCTTATATACCATCCTTATAGAATGCATGATCGATGTATGGAGCTTCTCTCTGTCAATCAAATAATATGTATAAGTGGGTGGTGATCATAAATTAGTAAAGAATGTATATTCGTTCTAAGATGAGCTTTTCTTAGCCATGCCCTTACAAAGTCGTACTTTCTAATTGATATATATTTTATTAAATGTTGCCATGTTAGCCGATCACTTAGAAAGCAAATTTTAGACGGCCCAAACAAATATTTGGACCAAGTGTAAGTACTGATGGATTGTGAGATGTAGAGTTTCGTCTCTTGCGGAGTGAATTCTACAAGAGTAGATCAAAATAACCCGGTGTTTGTGTAGAGGTCAACCTTGGCCGCTACGCTTGGAGACGTAATACTTAACAAGCTACCTGTTTAACAAATGGAAAATATAGTGTGAAAATGTAAGAGAAATGTAAGATGAGCGCAATTAATCACTTCAAGAGGAGCGTAGGGCTAAATTATAGCTTTTGAGCTATTCCAGATGTTGTTGCAGATCGCCGAGTTTATTTATTTGAGGCTTCTATCTTAATTTTAGAGCATTGTCCCTTCCTGAAGTACAGGAAGGACAGACATAAGGAAACATGGACGAGCAGAAATCATTAAATCGACCCAATACTTTAGAAAGGTCAGGAAAAGTGTACATATACTTTATGGTGTCTATAATGCAGGGAGAGGAAAGAAAAAACGTGTTAGTGTACTGCCACCCCATTGATGCTAGCCTTCGTTGCACTTTCCCCATATTTAAGCTTACCTTACTTTAAAAATCATATAAGTTTTTCCTTTTTTAAAAAAAAGGGGATTACAGTGTGCTTAAGCAGAGATTGATTGCAGTGATTTCGGACATTCAGTTGAAATCAAGTAAGATGATTGCATAAATATCATTAAATTTAAAATTAAATTAACAAAAAATCGTAATTCAGTGGAAGTATGCTGAAATGCAGTTATCAGAGCAGGTAGAGAAAGTTTACCTTTTTTTTTCTTTTTTTTTTGGAATATGATTGATAATAGAGGACAACTTATTCACTGCATTAAGACGAAAAAATGTAGCCCTTAACAAACAAACGAACACGGAAGCAAAATAATTGGTACAAAGAATTGCATATGGAACGTACGTCATTTAAATGAAATTGTACATACAACCGGAAGCATAAGTTACTTGTCCCTTAAATAATCAACATTTCCTTTTCTTTTTCTACTCTTCAATTTTTTAGTTTTTCATACACATTTAACACATGTTTGTACGTAAACAAAAAGCTAAATGTTTCTGGGTCAAGATTACTACTTGCTTAACAATTTGAATGCCACTAATGTTAAGAGAAATTGTTTGATTAAATCAATAAAAAATCAATTTCAGGTTAAAGGCATTATAAGAAGCTTTCTTATAGTGCGTACATACATTTTATTTTTTTTTATAAAAAAAAAAAAATTAAATATTTTGTTTACACGTTTCATTTATGTATAATAAACTTAAATGAATATTTTCAAAATAAATGCCTTTTGCTTATATCGCTTTATTCGATTTATTTATTTATTTATTTATAATAATTTCTAAATTATTACTTTTTTTTTTTTTTTTTTTATAAATCATGCTAACGACAGCACTAGATATGTAATATGTACAAAGGAAGCCTTAAGTGAATTAATAAAGATATTAACAAACTGGAAGGAAAAGTGTTTTTATCTTTAATTTCGTAAACACATTTTCTACATATCATAAATCATTAGCTAAGAAAGACAAAAGGTTTGTATGTGTTTTACATTTACTTAATAGATGTTTTTGGAATTAATTTCAAAAATTAATTACATATCTTATATTACTAAGGGCATAAACATGCAAAAGATTTACAAGACGTTATCTATTCGTGCGTGTACGTTTATGTGTGCGTTCAGTGTGTTTATATTGACATTTCTATATGTGTTTATCATTTTATAGATCATTAAGAGCTAAATTTAAGCAAACTTTATATATATGTATATGTATGTATCTTAATCTGTTTTCCTGCCCGCTTGCCTTATCTTAGCCTGATTGTAACTCTTTGCACAATCAATTTTAATCCATTTATTAGATGTGTGCTTGCTTGTTGACCTAACTTAATATTGCTGTTGTTGAGTAGAAAATAAATACATCTCTACAGAAAAGGAAAATGATAAATTTCCATTTACTGTAAACTGTAAACTCACATTTAAATGCATGCATCTACTCACTCTCAGTACATTACTTGAATATTGCATTTGTTATTATTGCCAGGAAGCGACAGGAATTATCTCTTAGCAATATTGGGGATGTCGAATACAGAATTCATATTTTTACTCGATTGATATGAAATGCATAACATTTCCATACATATCTGCCAATGCATTATTTTTCAACAAAAAGTTTGCCTCAAATTTCTTAAACTGATCTTCCCCTAGCTTCACCGCGAACATTTTTCACGGAATAGGATCGAAACATTTCTTGACTTCCCTGGCCATACGTAATAAATGTTCCTTTTATATGGAAATAAAAGGTAAATCTGTAGTGTTTTATAATAAAACTGATGATTCAGAATAAAAGTTTACTGGAATAAATTTAGATCGTATGAGATTGATTGTTCGGAGCCAGAAGTCTTGAAAGACCGATAAGCTTATATATGGTAATAGTTTTTGATAAAAATCGATGAAGAGTTATATTAAGCTATGCGATGGAGATCGTTCAATAGTCGACCTTACCTGCAACTGCAATGTTTTAAAACTGGTTTTTTACTTGCATAGAGCAGAAATTACCCCACAATTTTGTACATTAATATCATAAACATATACCGACATAAATGCAATATTTGAATTAATATACAATAAACGCGATTGAAAACCTATCGTTGACCAGATGTGTGACGTCGCGGTAATAATAACATGTCATCAATTACATGTGTTAACTTTAATTAACGAGCATGCATGTATATGTATATTATAAAATGGAAACCATGGTTACAATATAATTTTCGGCTATCATATTGGGATATTCAGTACAATGACTTCCCGGAGCATATGTGTTAACATAATGAAACAAAAATGTATATGATTGCGATGTTGTTGACAGCGAAACACGAATGACTATCCCCATT